ATTGTCGGCAATCCCTTCTCTCATTTAAGAAATGACAGCAGGTGTTGAACAGCATCATGGAGTAATTTGGGAACAGTGAATCTTTTTCAGTGGATGGTTTCACCAAAAGTTTCTAAACAGGAAAAATACAAACCAGATGAAAGTGCAGTTTCTTAAATCTTGATTCTCTAATTGACTTTTGATTGTATAAATCCATTTGCAAATTGTTTTGTAAATCTTTGTTTTTAATTTTGCTTCTTTTGAAAAATTGAGTTGATTGTATCTTCTGAAGTTAAGAAACAGAAACCACCCAGTATGATAGATTTATCATTCAGATATAAGAAATAATATGTGTGAGTTTGTACATTTTGCTTGTCACAGACACCAGTTACACTTATCAGACCAAGAAATGTTGAATGATCAAGTGTATAAACTGCTCTAATCTTTTTTGGAAAACTGCAAAGTTGTTTAGTTGTAATATTTCAGATTACTGCCATTAGAAAGTTTAATTGTTTCCAGTCTTAAGGCAAGTTTTATATACCGACTAGGTCATATTTCATTTATATTTTGTCACTTAGTTACCTCCAAAGCTGCTACAAGCTGAAATCTGTACATGGTGTTCTGCTTACCAGCCTCAAAAGCTCTGTTACTGCCATTCAATTCAGGCTGAAAACAGAAATGATTAACTGCACTTACTGTAATTAGCAGCAGCAAGGAGGACGGACTAGAGTTAAAGTCCAACAAATGCAAAGAATGGTGCCGCCATGGTATCAGTTGTGCTGACTCCTGCCACCTTTTCCATTTATTTTTCTTGAGTTGCTTCCAAGATTCTGCAGTGCACTTGTTCACGTCTGACAGCTGGGCTAAGGGACAGGTTACAGATGGAGTATTCAAAGAGAGCGCTTAAGACTGAGAATGATGAAATGACTGGGGGATCACTGACATGCTTTCATTTTGCATCAACATCATCATTATTACAAACTTCGTCCTTTGTCAGTCCTTGGGTGGATTGAAGCCTTTCCAAGATTTTCACAAGTCTGTTCTCACATGCCCTCACACAGCTCCTGGATGGTTGATTTAACTTTGTCATTTTCTTTTTTTTAAATTTGGCATTGCTGTTTGTCGTATTTTCTACTAATCCAGCTGGAATCAAAAGTTAAGAAAGAATATCATTGAGAGGATGACATCCAGCCAGTGTACCCTTTTAGTAGTTAGTAGATAATTAATCAGGGTATCGGCTTCAGTTAACATGGCTGTGTAGCTTGTTCCACACTCCCACAACTCTTTGGGTAAAAACTGCCACCTCTTCTTGGTTTTAAATGCAATTTCATGTAGTTTCCACTTGTATCCTCAGGTTGTTAATAATTTGGCTGTGCAAAGATATGAAACAATGTCTCCTCTAATTTGCTGTCAAATTCTGTAGAAGGTTAAAGTTGCCAGTCAAACTCAAGATAAAACCAGCTGTGGAAAAGAAAACGAAAATGTAGTGGTTTCTGCTTGAAAAATAATTTTGGGATTTGAAAATGGGCTGTAATTTGAGAGAGCAGAAACAGAGCTCTTTGCTTTGAAAGTATCCCTTTAGTATTTCAAATCCAAAAAGTCATGTCTGTTCTGGAAATAAGAACTCTTGGCATTGTGCAACTTGATTGGACTGGAGTGCAGATGCATAGTTTTCTGTGGGTTACAATACAAGCAATATGAATTAGCTCTTTAGAAATCTTTGTCTGGAATTGAAAACATACATAAACATGTCGCAAATTGGTATTGAATGCTGAATTGTCCTTCCACATCCAACCTAGTGTATTTTACTTATTAGTATTCTTCACATACGACAACATTCTTTCCCTTGTAGATTTATTTCACTGTGAATTTTTAGAGCAGTTAAAATAATCAGAAGAATGCACTCTCTAAAATTGGATCAAAAGGGAAGACTCAGAATATGTACTTACCAATACCTTTTCACAATATCAGCTTTAATATATATCCACTTAACATGAAAGCAATACTATTCTGCTTTAAGATTCCAGACCCTGTAGGTTTGCAATAAAGAAAATGACAAGTAAATTATTCTTCACAGTGTCTGATTTTAATATAAAAAGGACTCTTATTTCATCTTGCTGTGGATTTCAAGTGCTTTTTAAAAGTGCAAAGTAGTACCTACACAACTCTAATGGTTGTTTCCGAGTATAAAAGGAAGATTAACTTTAAAACAAATGATTAAAGCATTCAATAACATTGGTGTTTAGAAAAAAACATGCTTTCATTTGCAAGAAGTCTATTAAATCCAGCACTGAAAATAGACCTCACCATCATATTTATACTGACATTTATGTTTACACTTAGTCATAGATGAAATGCACAAATAAATGTTTGGTAATACATACTATATGCAAACATCATAATGTACTCTAAGAACGGTTACAAACCATTGGCCCATCTGGCCTGTTGAGTAGTTTGTAGCTTATTGATCCAATGATCTCATCTAGCTGTTTCTTGAAGAAAGCCAAGGTATTGGCTTTGTTACTTGTTCCATATTCATACAGCTACTCCTTCCCTGGTTTGTACCTAATGTAATCCAGATTAATATGTTTTGTAATGTGAATCAATTTAAAGTCACACTAATTCACAGACAAACCATTGCAGATTTTATGATACTCTCTTCTTTCTAAACATCACATATGGACATGTTTGTTTTGCCTCTCATGATTCTTGTTCTGCATTAAATTGTGAATTAAGGAATATTAAGTGCAATTGCATACATTGTTCTTTCTACTTTGAAATGGATGTTCGATAAGTTTTTACTTTAACACCTTTTAATCATTTCTAAACAACTGTGTGAAGAAAAATTTATAATTCATTGCTGACCTTCATTCAAATAGGTCCACCAAAGATAGGTGGTCAGTACAAGGTGTATGCACCATTGGCTTGAACACAAACATGCAAACACTACAACTTTGACTGTGAACAGGCCACTGTTTTCAATGAAGGTTTTCAAATAGTTGCCAGAGCATTGTTCTCATACTGTATGTATGTGGTTTATTTTCATTTATGCACACTATCTTGGTAGTGTCTTTGTAATCATCTCAGTATTCTGGATCATGTCTCACTATCAGTTCTCTAGATGACACAAGTGGAAACTACATGAAAGTGCATTAAAAATCTTAAAATCTTAAAAACAAGAACAGAAGGAACATACTGTATGCAGAGGATTGTGGGTGGGTTTGGAACAAGTGACTCTGCCTTGTTGAAGCTGATATCTTAGCTTCTTTAAGGAAATGGCCAGATGAAAATATTTGCTTCTGGTAGTCTAATAATAGACTAACATGTCCAGCGGATGGGCTGAATGGCCTTCACTTGTTCATAACCTTTCTTGTATGTTATGTTCATCTGTAAAATTAATCTCACTGTTCGTTGGCTGACTAATGATTCTGAGAAACAGCGGATCCTTGCCTGGCATTAACTCCTGATTGATATAGAACGTTTTCATCAACTCTTGACTTCTCAGGACAAGCATTATGAAGTGAAGGAATTAAGGGATTGCATTAGATTATTTGTGGAAACAGGTGGGAAGTGGCAGAATGTGGTTAACCATTTTCCTTTATCTACTAAAATGCGGCTTTCTTACACATGTGGGAAAGCTAAGCATAGCCTGTGCTGTCTCCATGTATTCATTTCCAGATGAGGGAGACATGAGTCATTAGGAAAGGTGACTTGGTAAACATAGTGTAGGGGTTGCCATTTCTCATGATGGTCCAATGTCAGTGATGGTAAGATTGTGGGGTTGTCTAATGACTGATATCATGTTTCCAGTTTTTCTGTGATGTCTAATTGTATTACAACCTGCAGCTTATTAGGTGGTCCTTATGAGTACAACAGTCCCCTCATGGGCTTAGTTTGGTTTTGTCTGGCTTGTACTGTATATGTGCCAGCAAAAACTTTTAAAGTATAGTCTCACAAACCTGTTTCTTCCCAAGTCACCCTTTTGTCAGTTCATCCTCAAGATGGAATGATTAATAATGAGTGCAGAATCACTGAGGATCAGGACTTTAATGGTTTCTATAGCCGTAGGATTATCACAACATTTAAAACTAGTTTTATGTTATTCAAAATGATGGGGGAAAGAAATGATGTCTTGGCATTATTTGTCAAAGCATGTATTCTATGAACTAATTTCAGCAAATTATATCTTTGAATGCATCTTTTCACAACTTCTTCAACTTGTGGAGCAGTTCTTTCTTAAATTTTTGGCATTCAATGAGAAGTTTGAATGTTCTCCGTGTGTTCATGGGGGCCTTCACCAGGCACTATAGTTTCTTTACCACCTTACTGGGAATAGGTGGCTTTCTGATCATGAATGGATGGTTGCCACCTTGGCAAATTAAGTGTAAATACAAATTCATATCGAGCAATTTTGTAGTTGTAACTGCAGGTTACTGAAACAAACACATTTTAATATTTATCTGGGAGCAGGAATTTATATCTCAACTGCAGAACTGTTGGCGAGGTATTAATTAGAAACTGCATAATCCTGATTAAAAACACATTGCTATAAACTCTGAATAATTCACAAAACTCAGCAGTATCCTTTGATTAAAATATATTTCATCTAAAAAATTCATGTTGGCTGGCCACAAAATATCCCCACTTCCCTAAACATAAATCTAAACATGCAAATTAAAAATAAAAATTTTAAACAAAGATGTGCTTCAGGATTGTCAGTTGGCTTTCAGTTGCAAAGCCAACTTGCAACCTTGTTGAAAATGGCACCATGTCTTGGCAGGGGGACTATCACGGTGTTTGGCAGTGGCTCCATGTTTGGACTTGGTAATTATTTCTGGGATTAGTGTTTCTTGGTGTTCTCCTATCAGCACAGGAAAACATGTCGGCAGAGTACCTTGATGTAAATTGCCTGTTGGTGACACTCTCGGCAGCTCACTCTGCGTGTCTGCGGGCTGCCAAGGTGGCGTGTAAGCTTTGAGACTCGGAATTTGGAATATGATTTCCTCTGCTTTCCTCCGCAGCTGGTGGCCGTGTACGATGAGCAGGATCCGCACCATGGAGGCGACGGGACCAGTGCCAGCTCCACGGGCACTCAGAGCCCCGAGATCTTCGGCAGCGAGCTCAACTCCAGCAACGTGTCCGCCTTCCAGCCCTACCAGGTGACGAGCGAAATCGAGGTCACCCCGTCCGCGCTCAGAGCAAGTAAGTGAGAGCTTCACAGGCAGAGCTTCCTTGGGAGCAAGCTGGCTTTTTACATTATTACTTCAGCACTAATATGTTGTTCATTAATGAAATAATTTTGTGTCTGTGTAGTATTTTTCCATCGTAAAGGCACTTCTTGGCTATAATAAGGTTTTACCAGTTGGTAATAGATACGTCCTGTTGCTCTGTCTTCTCCTTAAGAGCCTGTTCATTTGTAAAGGGGTTGTAGTTTTCAGCAGTAATCCATCACATCTGTAACTTCTTCGCATGGCATCCTCTTATGTCCATAACTTTTCCTCACTTTATTTCGGGGAGCGGGAGGCCCAAAACATTAAGTTAGCCCCCCAGTCATCTTTTTCATGTTCTTATATACACCGCTTCAGTGAAATCATCTAGTAAAGCAGCCAAGGAATGTGGTTTATAGAAGTATGGTACAAATAGATTTAATACTCAGGAGGATTTTAAAATGGGAACCAACCAGTTAATCATACATGAGGAAGGAAACGAGAGCTGTACTTGCAGGATGTGTTTGGGTGACTGCCGACCACAGATGAATATTTTAACACAGAAGCAGACTCACTGACTTTAGTTTCAGGACTAAATTAAATGACAACATGAAGAATTGAACAAAAAGTAAGTTTAATAATTAATTTTCATCAAAAAAGTATTTCTGGAATCCCTGGGTAGTCATGTGTTTTTACAGGAATATCACGTGGAACAATCAGCCACCTTTATACATTGTATAGCTTTCATTTTTTTAATTCTAAGCTACAGTATACTTAATTGGAAGATTTGCAGCTGCCTTAAAAGTGGTTCCCAACTTTCCATTTGCCCTAAATATTAGCAGTTATGAAGGACACCCTGATTTATGGTGGATTCACTGGATATTTTCAATAATTCTTTCATTGCTTATGCAAATAGGTTGTACACACATACAATACTTAAAAAACGTAATGTTTCATATGTTGAATTCTCTTGTGAACAACTGATATTTGTGTTTTTTTTGCCTTCAGAAATGTTTTTCATGAGGTTTGGGACTGCAGTTTCAGGGTGTGACAAAATAGCTCTGTCATGGGTATTGTCTGCCTTTGTACTGTATATCTTTCATGCATTTTAGAAAGCGTTCCCCGTTTTTCTGAATGTGTTTCCTGAATAGTAGATTTGACCTACATGCTGTTGTTCCAGATCTTAAGTCTGGGCACTAATAATCTCCAGATAGAAGTCCTGATGTAACATGAACATATAATCACTTCCTTTTCTTTTGTTGGATGGATTTCACTATACACTACATTAATGGAAACTGTGGTGTCTTTATGATACACAGGAAATGTATTCTTTAAAAGGGTACCACTTCTAAAGCCACAATATATTTGATACATATATACACTTGCATAAGAGCAGCCATGTTGGTTCCTTCTACCCAGCCAGTTGTGGCCTGGAGCACTGTCCGTGTGGAATTTGCATATTCTTGTGGCGTTCGTGTGGCTCATCACTAGGTACTTCGGTTTCCTCACTCTTTCGAAAGACACGCAACCTCTAAGTTGTTTCTGTGCTCTGATATGGGATCTATATGTCCAGGTTTTAATCTGCCTTGGACCCTGTGTTTCCAAAATAGATAGTGGGTTGCTGCAAATCTTACCTGCAAGCTGCTTTGGATGATGGATATATATTTGTGGCACTTAAATCATTTCTTCTTCCCGAGGAATTTTTATAAACAGTCACACTCTTTGAAATGGTTAATTGCCTTAAGTGCGTAGGACTAACTGGTAATTGCAAAACAATAAGCTTAAAACAGACAGTGGAGGTGCAGTAGGTTGTTGGACACACACAGCAGTGTAGTATTCAAAAAATGACAAGTGTCATTGTCATATATTTAAGCTATTTTAAGAGATGCCTGTAAAATCTTGAACACATTCCATGAAAGTATTAGATTTAAGAAAAAAAGAGAAGTAGTCTTTCCTGCTCCCCTTTTTTTCTTAGCTAATGGGAGTTTTTGAAACTGAGCAGTAAAGTGAGAGACATGTGGGTCAGTGCTTGAGGCAAGAGATGATGTTGATTACAGTAAGTAACAGTAATGAATACAAATACTAAGGAAAGAAGTAAAAGATGCCAACAGGGAACCTTTCAAGTTGTATGTGCTATGAAAGTGGTTGATTTGATGTTTTGTTCAGCATGCAAATGTTCCTATAGATTACAAGGGTAAAGCAAGATGAGACCATTTTATAAAGAGTGCTTTACCTGAGATTAAGGCACAAGGTCTTGAACCAGCTGTGGATAGGAAGGCAAAAGTACAAACAACTGTGAGCAAACTATTTACTGTGAGGAGTGAAGATGAGTCGCATCTGTGGTCTGAAATCTACTGCCTTACAAAAGCAATCTGCATCAAGACATGTCCTAGATGGTGCTGCTATGAAAAGGTGTAAGGAACTCTTATTGGAAAAAGGTCATTCTATGTCCTATTAGCCAGGAAAAGCTCTGTGAGTATATAGTCCATTTTCCAATAAGAGTTCCTTACACCTTTTCATAGCAGCACCATCTAGGACATGTCTTGATGCAGATGGCTTTTGTAAGGCAGTAGATTTCAGACCACAGATGCCTTACAAAAGCCATCTGCATCAAGACATGTCCTAGATGGTGCTGCTATGAAAAGGTGTAAGGAACTCTTATTGGAAAAAGGTCATTCTATGTCCTATTAGCCAGGAAAAGCTCTGTGAGTATATAGTCCATTTTCACTTTTCAGTGAATATTTTAAGTAGTCAGTTGTATTGAAAATGTTAATAAAAAAACTTGATGAAATTCCTGAATCGTACTACAAGCAACCAAATAGTCTTGAGGTATTGAATGGTCTCTTGATTGTGACATACTGTGTTCTAGTATTATGTTCTTTATACTATGGCATTATCAGCTATAGATCAAAACAGGCATTTTTCTTTGACTATTATCAATTGTTGATAACACTATTACAGATAATAATAGATAATAGATAAATAATGGATACAAATCCAAGAATACAATATCATTAACTTTCTTAAAGAATATCAAGAAGTCCCAGTTTGGCCAAGCAGTTAAACACATTTAGGTGGACATTTTTGTGTATGAAAAATGACAAAATATGATCAACTGTTTCAGAGTTAAATTTAGCTTTTAGAAAACCTGAGAATTTACTAATAAATCTTGGTATCACTATACAATGTGGCTTGTCTGTAAAATAGATGCCTGACCTTTGTGTTCAGTTGAAGGCATGATGAATGCCTATCCTAAAATTCCTCCCTGATCTTCCCAGGTCTCCTTTTGTTGTATTTTCACTGGGTTTGAAGAGCTGATGCTCCTCATTATCTGCTGTGATTGTCTCTTGTGCAGTCTGGCAGAGGAAGCTGCAGTTTGGCTCCTGTCAGTATTGCTGCTGATTGGAAACCAGCAGAGCACAACAGGCAGGATTAGAAATCCCTGGTGGAGATACCCGACTTCAGAGGCACAGGTGAAAATTGCCCTTGTTTATGGGCAATTTGGCAAACAGAATGATAACAAACCCAGCCTTGCTGAATTCTCAGTGTCATAAAAGTTTGCAGACTCGATTCTGCTTGTAGTTTAGCTTCAGCTCCAGATTTTATTGAATAGAAGGCTACTTATTTAGTGGGAGAAATAGGCAACAGCCCCCAGGAATTAGCCCTGAGCGTTCAGCTGCTCATGTTCAGGAATATCAATGAGGTAACAGAGTTCCAGGTATCCTGTCACCACATTGTAACTAAAATGTTGGCTGGACATTCACTGGTCATTAATTGTTAACCTGCTGTGAAAATCAAGGCAGCTGTAAAGTGCGGACATTTTATTTCTAATCACTTCATCCTTGAGTCTTGCTTTTCATATTCCTAACACAGGGTCATTTCAATTATCTTTTCAAAGGAAGCCATACCCGTATTGTTGCTACAGGGGAAGGCTTGAATGATTCTACAAGCCAGTGTGTTACAGAGATAAAACTGACTCATTTTAATAACACAAATTATAAAGTATTTTTTTGTAATTTGGAATGACCAGTTTCATCGAATCGTCAAACACCACGTTTTTTACTTGGTGGCCCACATTGCCAATCTCTGCTTTCTTCTGGGAGGGAGAAATTGTGGCAGAATAGAGGGTCTCCTCCGTCCTGCTCATTAGTGTACAAATAATACAGTACGTGCTATGCGGTAATATCCAGACAATCCCGTACCGACTGGAGGACAGACGCATCTCTCACTACTGTGACCCTGAACCCACAGGGGCCCTGGAGCTTCCCAGGGTCGTTGTTTCCCAAGGAGCTCGGAGAACCCGGGCTGACTCGTTCTTCCTGAGCGACCAAACGTGCCACAACCCAGCTTTGAATTCATGACACCTGGCTAATGGAGCCAAACCTGCGCTGTACTGGTCTAGTCACTGAGGAGCCCAAGCGCCATATTTCTAATGTAACTACATATGAGGTAATGCATAATTGCCTTCGAATTTAATATCAAGGGAGCTTGAAGTCATGGGGATTTGGCAATATTTATTGCATTAACTCAGCGTTTTCAGTTTAATTCATTTCAGTTTTTCTGAGGTCATATGTTTAGAAATATAGAGGTTGTGTGTGGTCATACTCTTCTGCTTGCCCCCATGTTATACTCACCATTCATTAAGAAAAGCCAAGCCTGGTTTCTTGTCATTTTTTTCTATCTCTTGGAGTAAATGGGTCTGTAGAAGTATATTTTAACTTGCCAGAGTGCAACAGTGTCAAGCACCTTCTACAGTAACTGTAAAATAGCTGCATCAAAGGCAAAGGTGTAGATACATTATGCTCATATGCTAGTATTTTGTTCCTCACACTAAGGTATTGTCAGCTGTAGACCATTGTAAATTAATTCTCTCATTAAACAGCGAATAGGTTGAAAGTAATATGCTGTCAATTTAATTTCCAGGCATGTGATTTGTGCACCTGCACCCTTACACAATAACTTGTGCTTTTTTTATTTGTTCTTCCCTGTTAAAGC